CTGGGTGAGCGTTGTGCTGACAACACCAAGTCAAGGGTTAAGATCCCCTTACCGGTCATCTTTAAAAAAAAAAATAAATAAATAAATAAAAATAAAATAAATAAATGTTAATTTAAGATCTATAACATACTCAATCTTTATCTTATAAGCCAATTTTTCCTTCCAACTGGTATCATCCTGTCAATACACTACCATTTTTCTAATTACCTGGGTGTTAAGTCTTGAAATCCTTCTCTACTCCTCTTCTTCATCTTTTACATCAAGTCCATTTACAAACAATCTTATTACTCTAGCTTCTTTTTTCCTTAATAAAAAATCTCCAATAGTCCTTGTAACTTACAAGTATGAGCTCAAATTTTTCCTAGCACACAAGGGTTCCCTAAATCCCAACCTATTTTTCAGTACCTAAAATGAATGTTGCCTTGACACAGCTCTCAGAATATCTCAAGCCCATTCCTAATGTAAGCCTTCACTCTCTTTATAACTCCTAACTACTTGTAACGTATGCATTCCAAAAAGATGCAGTTCAAGTACTACCTCTTTCTTAATGCCTTTTTTAACTGATATGGCCCATAGCAATGACTGTGGCCTCTGAACTACTATAATATTCATTTTCTATATCACTTAGGTCATTAAACATCTTTCCAGTTCCTCTGGCCAAAAATCCTTAGAGCATTCTCGGCTCCTCTTTTTCACATTCCATCCCCAATCTACCAGCAAATCATATCAACTCTAACTTTGACATACAATCAGAATCCAATCACTTCTCCCTACATTCACCGCTATTCTGAATAAAGCCTCCATCAACTCTAGCCAGGATTAATTACTACAGCAGACTCAATCAGTTTCCCTGTTCTGGCCTTTGCCCTCCTTTCATAAAACATAACATCAAAAATGAGCCTGGAAAACATAAGGCAAGTGATGTCCCTTCTTTCCTCAAAATGTTCCTCATTCAGAGTAAAAGCTAAAATTCGTTCAACAGCCCTCTAGGCCATAGGACCTCTCTTATCTCTTTTATTTTCTACTTTTCTTCTCCTTACTCATTTCATTTCAGACATACTAGTCTCTCCGGTCTTTCTCAACCATGTCTTGTGCACTTCCGTTACCCTGTACTGACTATTCCTTATTCCTGAAATTATTTGCTCTTCTTTCCTGATATCTAGTGGTTTGCTTCAAATGTTCCCTTCTGAATATGTCCTTCCTTTACCACATTATTTAAAACAACCCCTCATTAATATTCCACTTCTCTGGTTTTTCTCCTAGCATTTATCACCATCTAACCTACTACGCCTTACACATATTTAATGTCTGTTCTTCTCCCAAACTAGAATGCAAACTCTACTAGGAAGAAAGTTTTCCCTCTCTTGTTGACTGCTATATCCCCAGTACTTAGAAAAGTACCTGACACATAGGAGATGCTCAACAAATATGGGTGGTTTAAATATTGCCCTACATTACTACTTAAAGAGTTTCAGTGAAACACTTTTTTAGTGTTTTATGAGACAATTATGTCAAGGTGTCCATTCTTATCAGATCTTCAATAAATGTTGAATCTGAATTGCCTACTAGATTATAAGTTCTATAAGTCCTCGAATGAACTATGAAGTTTAGAGAAGTCTTTTAGTTCAACATGTCCATTACCTGCAAATTTTACTTACCAGCAGCACATACAGGAAAAGAATCTGGGTTAAAATCCCGACTATTTTGAAATAAGTTTCTTGACACTCTTTTTCTGCTAAAACATAAATCATCATTGACTGACATTCCTTGAGAAGGCTTTAATTTTGGAGACGGGATAAAATCATATGCTGAAAACTGTAAGAACAGAATAAAAAAATTAGCAAATTTGTTTTAGGTCTACCTGGCAATAAACATAACAAAATAACTTATACCTAATTATAAAATTCAAATTAGAAAAAAAATTTATCAATTATACAATCATACAAATAAAAATCTCCATATAGTATGGTATATTAACAGTATTTTTTGATTCCAAGATAAAAATGCTAATTTTTTTTCTCTTTCTTACTACTTCACCCCAACTTTTTTGTACCTTACCTTCTACAATATACACTGGACAACTAGGAAAGAGTGAATACAAATGATGAAAAGGGTGAATTGACAACTTGAATGAAGAAAAGATCATCTTACTCAGCAGCAAAACCCTTCAAACTATGCCATCAAAGCATTAGACTAAAAATAGCAATTGAAGGTCACTGAACAAGGAAGCATTCCACTCTACCATTCCTACTGAGGCAAATCTACTATCTATATTCTGCAGCCCAATGTAAATGTAAGTGACCTGGCAAACTATTTCATGGTTCCCTTAGGAGATTTTCTTATAATAGGTCTTGAAGTTAAAACAAAGTATACATATTACTATGTGTGACTAGTTGTCTATGGTTTATATATGTTTAGTACTCTATGGTTTCCAAGTCCTTTCTTATAAACCCCATATGATATTTAAGGCATAAAAATGCCAGGATATAATTTTGAAGTTCTACCTAATCATAGTTAAAGAACTAAATGAGAGCATAATTCAAGTGTTCAGAATTCTTCACCAATGCTGACCTCAGTTGTTCCGGGTTACTTCACATTCAACATGGCTATAAAACATTCAGAAAAACTGAGTTAATCAACAAGAATTATACTTACTGCTTATATATTTATTTAGAGCTTACAGACACACTCAAATCTAGACATGTGGTGAACTATGAGCCTTGCCAGTATGCTTCTTTGCAAACTCTGCCAAGTATCAAAGAGCAATAAAATATAATAAAATTAAAGATATATCTATTTGAAAATTTCTTAGGTACTTGACTATTACAAGTTAAGAATATAAACTATCTAATATATCTCAGGTAACTCATTATTCCTCATCAAGTTTTGTGAAAAATCCATTAAAGCCTTCAAAAATTAACTCAGAAAAGACAAATAAGAAATAAAGAATGCCCAGATGAAAAAGTACTGACTACTTTCTCAAAATACAAAATTATAATTTCTATCATTGACTGTATGGTATTTAATATTAAAAGGACACAATGGAATAAAAATGGAACCAATTATAATCAACTTCTGATTAGATACATTAAAAGAAGACATATTAACACAGCTAAAATAGTAAGTAATACAGTAACAGTAAGTGTCTCTGATTCCTTGTTTGATGCATTTCTGGAGGTTCCACCAACATATTGTCCTTCTGTGTCCTAACATCAGAGTCAAATACGTGGCATTAAAGTGCATCCTTTCTGAGACTTGGACCCATGGGTTAACTTTTCCTCATATAAGTGACTGAGCAATATGTTTTCTGTGCAATGAATTAGATTCTTGGCAAAGCGTGGTTCTGGTTCTGATTGAGCTTGTGGACAATTTGTATCCACACAGATGGCAGCAGTGGTAAAACTGGGTTTTGATTTTATGGTATGACTGTTAAGTGATTTCTGCTTGATAAGAGTATCTCGGGTAGCAGCTGACAAGGAATCTGGAATCTGGTTTCTTTATTGGCCTTTTTTTTTTTTAATGTTTATTTTTGGAAGGTACTGATATGGGGTCCTTTGCTCTCTTCCTCCATCCAAAACTTGAGGCTTTTACATGTTTACTTATTATGGGCCCAATACCTGTCAATATCTACAAAAATAAAGATGAAAGGAAACAAAATTCATAACATTCAATGGTTAACGTTCTTTGATTTCTCTAAGTAACTGAATAACTACAAATTAACATTACTTCAGAACTCTAAAGCTAAAAAAAGGTTGACAACTTGAATGAAGAAAAGATCATCTTACTCAGCAGCAAAACCCTTCAAACTATGCCATCAAAGCATTAGACTAAAAATAGCAATTGAAGGTCACTGAACAAGGAAGCATTCCACTCTACCATTCCTACTGCATCCAAAACTTGAGGCTTTTACATGTTTACTTATTATGGGCCCAATACCTGTCAATATCTACAAAAATAAAGATGAAAGGAAACAAAATTCATAACATTCAATGGTTAACGTTCTTTGATTTCTCTAAGTAACTGAATAACTACAAATTAACATTACTTCAGAACTCTAAAGCTAAAAAAAGGATGGTAAAGAAACTTATTTAACTATAAATTAGATGAACTCAGAAAAATGGTTTCCAAAAGCCAAATATTTAATAATTTTCCAAAACCTAAATTTAGCCCTTTAATAACAATGTTGTTATCATATAGGATACAGATACTGAAAAAAAAAGTGTCTCATCAAATTTCTGGGAATCACAATCTCAAATCTATTAGTTATTTATTGCTGTGTAATGAATTATCCCCAAACATAATAGGTTAAAACAAAAAACATTTATTATCTCTCTTTCTGTGGATCAGCAATTTGGAAGAAGCTTAGCTGGATAATTCTGGCTAAGTGGCTTAGCTGGATGGTTCAGGTCTCCCTGTGACTATAATCAAGATGTTGGCTGAGGTTGCTGTCAAGAGGATCACTGAAGTTTACACATGCAGCTACTAGCAGGAGGCTTCTGTTCCTTGCCATTTGGGTCTCTCCAGAGGGCTGCACAAGACATGGCAGCTGGCTTCCTTCAGAACAAGTGATCTGAGAGAGTGCAACCAAGATGCAAGCTGCAAGTGTCTTTTTATGACCTAGTTTTTGAAGTCACACACCATTACTTCTACTTAATTTGTTAGAAGTGAGCCATTAAATCCAGACACACTCAGAGAGGAATTGAACTCCAGCTTTTGAAGGGAAGAATCTAAAGAATTTGTGGAAATATATTTAAAACCACCATACTCAATAATGATGGTTCTGTGAGGAACCTAATGAACCTGATGGCACTTAGTTACATGTTTTTGTCTCTTTAGCTGATTAACATTCTTAATAGATTAAGAATAGTGTGTCTACCTTAAAATCTGCTGCTTTATCATAATTAGATCTTCTAAGTTAAATGAAAGGTAAAAATTTTCCATTTCATGAATATAAAATATTTTTTGAGGAAACAAATTGATATGCCTCAGGCTGGCTGGGTAGCTCCACTGGTAAGAGTACAGTGTTGATAACACCAAGGACCACACTTGATTCCTGCACCAGCCAGATGCTAAAAATAAATAAATAAATAAAATAAAATTGATATGTTTTGTCTACCTATGGATAGTATTAATAAATCAGGATAAAATCAACTGGAACAAGCTGTTTCAATTGACTTATAAAAATCATAGTAATATGTGCTTAAATCATATTAAATAAATAAAACTCGGGGCCGGCCCCGTGGCGCACTGCTACAGTGCGCCGCTTGGGAGCCCGGCG